CTGAGGAAGTTCTTCAGATTCAGTGTGGAGAACAGTGGGCTTACTTCACTGAAGAGCAGTTGAGCCATCGTGCAGCCAACCTCACCTCCTTTATTTCATATCTCCCAGGAAGCTTCAGGTCATGGCTTACAGGCAACTGTCATTTCTTCTTTAAAATTTTTTGCTTGTTTTTGAGATTATAATTTAATTAAAGCATTTCTCCATTCCCTTTCCTTCCTCCAACTTCTCCCATACACACCCTCTCACTTTTCTTCAAATTTATGACCTCTTTGGTCATTAATTGTTATTGCATGGTTTTCGTTAGCATTTTTGCTCAGGTTGATCCACTAACACTGTTATATACATAATTAGTTCATTGCTTTTTGTTTCTGAATTGTACTTCACTACAGCTTGTTTGCCCAGTCACCTGGTAAAGACATCTGGGCGGTTTCTACTTCAATATGATTATGATTGAAAAAGAAGTTAATTAAAACTTTTCACATTTACTCATTTTGTGTGTGTGTGTGTGTGTGTGTGTGTGTGTGTGTGTGTGTCCACACATTCACACATGCCACCCAGCTTATGGAAGTTGATTCTCTCCTTTCACCATGTGGGGCCCAGGATCAAACTCAGGTTGTCAGGTGCAGCGATGATCTCTCTTACCTGCTGAACTATCTCACTGGCCCAAAAACAACTGCTTTAAAATCTTTTATAATTAAAAAATTAAAAGGGCTGGAGAGATGACTCAGCAGTTAAGAGACTTAAGGCTACTCTTCCAGAGGATCTGGATTTAATTCCCAGAAATCCCACGGAGGCTCCCAACCGTCTGTAACTCCAGTTATAGGAAATCTGATGTCCTCTCCTGGCCTCCTTGGACAATAGGCAACAACAGGTACACATACATGCATGCAGGCAAAACACCCCTACACATAGCATTAAAAAAATAACAAAATAATTAGATGTATGTTTGATTTTTTTTTTTTTACTTGAGTAAGTATTTATAATTGGAATGTCTAGGTTACATGTCAAATGTTGTCTGTAGTGGTTATGTCATTTTATATTCCCTCTGTCGGTATGCCGGAGTTCAGAGATTACCAGTTATTACTGCTTTTGTTTGTTTATTTGTTCTACTTGTTGCTGAGAGAGAAATACCCACATCCCTACCTCCCATTGCGGAGTTTCCTTTCCTCCCATTTAGTTCTGCTAGTTTTTGCTTCATGTGTTACGGGGCTTTGTGATTGGGTACATGCCTATTTAGGAATGCTTTGCCTTGTGTACATTGATTCTTGCATCATGACATGCCCTCCTTGCTTGTGCTGATCTACAATGTTCTAATATGGCTGCTCCAGCATTTCTCAACTAGAGCTAGAATGTACATTGTATCTTTCTTCCCATTCCTTTGCTGTTATCTGTCCATTTTCACTTTTAAAATGAAAGTCTTTTAAAAAGCCTTGCTTCTAAAAATCTAGTCTAAGACTCTCTCATTTTTAATGGGAGTATCTGGATTACTTACTTAAAAAGAGGTTGTTATTGAAGGCTGAACACAGTAGTGTGTTGTTTGATGAGTCTGAATGCACATATGTGAAATCATCCATAACATCTAGAAAATGGACATTTTCCATCATTTGCATTCCCCTGGGCTCCTTTGAAATTAATGCCTCTTATCCCTTCTCTCCCCAAGTGGTTACTGATACTCTGTCATTATACATCAGTTTGTATTGTCTTCAAGTCTGACTGTGTAGCCAAGTTGGCCTCAAACTTCTGCATCCTGTGTGCACCTTCTTTGTGTTGGTATTACAGGCATGCAGTACAACATGGCCTGGTGTTTATAGTTCTAAAGTCTTATTTAAGCGAGACCATAGCATTTACTATGGGGTTTTGGGCATTTTTTTTCATCATAGTGATTTTGAAATTTGTTCATGTTATGTTTTTATTTTTACTTTTTTTTTTCATGTGTAGGGATTTGCCTTAGGTAGGATTTTTATTGCTGTGATGAAACACAATGACCAAAACCAACTTGGTGAGAAAAGGGCTTATTGTAGTCCATCATGAAGGGAAGTCAGGGTAGGAATCCAAGGCAGGAACTTGGAGGCAGGAACTAAAGCAGAAGCCATGGAGGAGTACGGCTTACTGACTTGCTCCTCATGGCTTGCTCAGCCTACTTTCTTATAGACTCCAGAACCACCTGCCCAGGGGTGGCACCACCTACAATGGTCTAAGCCATCCTACATCAGTCACTAAGTAAGAAAATGCCCTATAGACTTGCCTGCAGTCAATCTTATGGAGGTATTTTCTCGATTGTGATTTTTCTCTACTCCGATAACTCTAACTTGGGTCATGTTTGGAAAACTCAGTGACGACAGTACCATGTGGGTAGGTAGGAACAGCTCAGTGCCTTCACCAGGACGGATCTTCAGGTTGTTGCTAGCCTTTGTTGTTACATACAGAAATGCAACACATTACTACCTAAGTCTCTGTATGTTTGCCTTTCATGTCTCTTGGGTAAATACTTAGGAGAGGAATTACTAGACCACCCAGCAGGCAAAGCTGTGTTTTTGATTGCCAGTCTGTTTTCAATGCATTTGTGCCATTTCTCATCCTCACCAGTGGTTATGAGAGTGAGTTCTCTTCCTTTCCTTATCAATATTTGCAATTGTTTTTCTTTTCAATCAGTGCATTTGGTGTGGTTTTTATTTCATTGATTTATTACCCATTCATGTATCTTCTTTGGTGAAATTTCTGCTTGGAATTTTTGCCTCACTAAAACGATTGGTCCTCTCACCCCCTGCCAACTCCCGGCTGATGGTTGTGGCACAAGCACGTCGGCTGCAATGAGGCTAGAATTTTGTTTGCTCTTTAAAACTTCACTTATTATCCTTGTGGGTATGTATGACACGAATGTGTGAGGGTGTATGTGTGAGTGTGAGTGAGTGTAGATTAATGTGTGGAGGTCAGGGGACAGCTTTCAGGAGTGAGTTCTTTGCTTTTACTGTGGATTCTGGGTATCAAATTCAGATCAGCAGGCTTGTGTGGCAAGCACTTTTACCTCCTGAGCCATGTTGCTGGCCCCAACCAACCAACCAACCAACCAACCAACCATCCAACCAACCAACCAACCAACCATCCAACCAACCAACCAACCAACCAACCATCCAACCAACCATCCAACCAACCAACCAACCAACCAACCAACCAACCAACCAACCATCCAACCAACCAACCATCCAACCAACCAACCAACCATCCAACCAACCAACCAACCATCCAACCAACCAACCAACCATCCAACCAACCAACCAACCATCCAACCAACCAACCAACCAACCAACCAACCTTTCTTTGAAGTAGAATGTCTTTTATTTATTATTTGACAACCTTATACATGGAAACAATATATTTTGATCATATCCCCCAACTCCTCTGTCCCAGATATCCTTAACATGTCTCACTGCCCACTTCACACTCTCTTCTGTTTTGTTTGTTTGTTTGTTTGTTTTTAACCCACCAGGTCCAATTTCTGCTGCCTGTTGTGATGTCAACTGAGCTTGTTGGCTTGGTCTTGTGTAGATCACTGTAGCTGCAGTGAGCTCTTGAGAGCAATGGCTATGTCATGTCCAGAATTAATTTCGACTTTTTAATAGTCTCTTTAGAAGCGTAAACATTAAATAAAGATGTGTTTACTTTTATTTTATGTGTTGGGTATTTTTCCTGCATATGTATCTGTGCACCATGACAATCCACAGTACACATGGAGGCCAAAACTGGGCGTTGGATCCTCTAGAACTGGAGTTACCGGCAGTTGTGAGCAGCCAAGTGGATGCTGGGAACCAAACCTGGGTTCTCTGGAAAATCAGTTAGTGATCTTAACTGCTGAGCCACTGCTCCGGCCTCAAAAGTAAATATTTTTTTTTTTAAGTTTGAACATGTGCAATTATATTTATGAGTTTTTTCTATTTATGAAATGGCTATCTGCTTAAGATCATAAAAGATTTTCTCCTATATTTTCCCTAGAAGTCTAAGAGTTTTACATTTAGGTCTCTGTTCCATGCAAGCTAATTTTTGTGCGGAGTACAAGGTTAATATTTTTCTCCATAGAGAGAGTTGGTTGATTTAGCATTATTTTCTCCCCAAAGGCATTCCATCTCCCCCTCTGGAATATCTTATTTTTGTCAAAAATCATTTAGTGCGTTTATGTATAGACAAAAAGATACAGGTGTTATGGTTGGTTGGACTTTGAAATTTCAGCCCCCAGGTGCGCTAGTTTGAACCCTGGCTCCTCAGCTGTCAGCACTATTTTGTAGGTTGTGGACACCTTGAGACACAGAGCCTAGAGTGGATGTGGGCTGCAGCGGTACTAAACAGCCTAGAGTGGATGTGGGCTGCAGCAGTACTAAATAGCCTAGAGTGGATATGGGCCGCAGTGGTACTAAACTAGCCCCACCTGCAGCTTGGGTGAGCCCTCTTTTTGTCTCTTGCTCCGATTGGATGTGAGTAAGCCATGATGCACACTTCCACTGCCGGGAACCAAGCCACCATCCAGATCTTCCAGGATGGACAGACTGACTTCACCCTCTAAACGGTGAATCAAAAGAAACCTCTCCTCATGGTTTCTCTAAGATATTTTGTGGCAACCACACGAGAAGTCAATGATACCCAGGTGTACTCAAATACTTTCTAGTGGTTAGGATCTCTATTTTTCTTCTAATACAATTTGTTTTGAATCCTTTCTTTGTGCCTATTCCAGAATGAATAAATTACTACCCACTGTTTCTAAAACTACTTAAGTGGTCCTCCCCACAGCATGGAAACAGAAACCACCCTTCCCTCATTAAATGTACGGGTGCTGTAGTCAGATGTGGTGGTTCACACCTTTAATCCCAGCACTCTAGAGGCAGAGACAGGCAGATCTCTGTGACTTCAAAGCCAGTAGACCAGTTTGACTTTCTATACTCAAAGAGACCAGATGAGTCAATATTTAATTCTTACAATAAAGACGACATGTGGAAAAGAAACCCAGTGACTATGAAGAGAATTACCTAAAAATTTAATAGCTTGTGTATATACAAGATGACAACAGGCAATACAAATTGGGTAGTTTGGCTTTGACAATGTGGAATGTCATCACAAGGCAGCCCTCTCCCATCAGATGCACATCGTATGGTAAGAACTACAAGCATCCCCTTCCTGACTTCATCCAGTGGTACTGATGCTCCATGACCCTCTTCCTCCACACACACAGTGAATTGTGGTCCAGCAGCTAAGTTGTTCATCCTCTGGCAATGCAGAACTTTGAGAATTACAGTTCTGCTTTGTTTTAAAAAGCACCATCTCTTTGATAACTTTCAATGATTTAAAAGACACACACACACACACACACACACACACACACACACACACACACACACACACTGAGATCACACGTTCTTCCCAAGTCCCTCCTTCCATTTATAATTTGGTTATTTAAAACAAATAACATTAATTCAGTCAAGACATATTAAACAAACAAAAACATATCTCCAAACAGGCTGGAATGAAATAATTTCCATGGACAGAGACTATAAGAATCATACTTCTTGACTTGGCCATAAAGAAATAGGGGAATAGTTCGTCTGCCCGCAGAGACTCTGGTGGCTCTGGTGCCTGTGCTGTATCCACACAGCCCCTGTGAAGAGACAGCCTGCAGGATCGATGCTGTGACTAGCTGTCACATGGTGATGTGACTGATCCACAAGGTCCATGGCCACAGGTGGATGGGAAGAGCAGATCTCTGCAGCTGTTTTGAGTGTTGGGTCTGCATGTGCAAGCTTTTAGCAGGGTGTAGGTACACCAAGCCACGAGAGCAGGAAAGGGCCTGGTGGCTCCCCAGTTCAGTGACTAAGGAGCCGGCCATTTTCCTCCGGACAATGAGGGTAGAAAACCCTCAGAGAGACTTCTAGTTAATGACTAGCAGTTGGAAACATCCCTTCTTTTTGTCTACAATCACAGTCTGATGTATCTTCATGAATTCCTACTGCAATTTTTTTTTAATTCAGCTCTAAATGCACCCTTTAGAAAACCTAGTGGCTTAATCACTCACAAATGCAGCCCCGTGGAAACAAGTCTTCTCTCCTTGTTGTAGCTTCCTTTCTGAGTTGAAGAGCACAATGCCGGCTGTAGACACAGTCTCTTAGTACAGCACACGTGCCTTGCCTCTCTCTAGTTCTGGAAACAATGGGCCCTGGGTAACTTAGGATAACATATACTTTTGGAAACTCTCTCTCTCTCCTCCCCTGCCCTGGCCTTTTCAGCCAGATTGGGGTCTTTTACTACTGGGTTAAAGACAGTCAAGTTTGAAAAATGTTTTGGATAACAGTAAGCCATACCATGACTTGTTACATGGATGGTGAACACTTGGCAAATATCCCACGAGTTCCAGATTTGGGTGTGCTGGATTCAGATCACTACTGGTACATGCGAAGTAATATGAAACCAACTGGTATAATTTTCTACAAACCCAAACAATGCAGCATTAGGATATGCTTACTAAGGTGCTTCTTAATTCATGTTTTTAATGGAATGTATCAGACACGCATCTACAAACAAATATGGATAGGCAAAGACCAACATGGACACGTTTCTGTACAGCTTATGTTTTAGAGACTTATATGTATATATAAGAACCATACAGGGGAAAAAAAAAGATTTCCCACTTCATCTCCCTGAATTGATGAAAATCAACTAGCTCACACAAAACGTTAAAATATTTCATTTTCATATAAAACATCTACAAAAATAGATAACATTTACAAAAACCAGATCATATTTCCAGTTTTCCTTAGTAATCATTCCCTCAGTCCTTCCACCTCCTTTTTTCCTCAGAAGGTGGCCATCTCCAGCAAAGAACGCTTGAACAGCTGAGCGTTTCTGGACAGGTCTGTTACCTGATGCACCATCTCCTGCAGGGCGGTAGTGCTGGGGTAGTGGAGGGCGGCTGTCTTCGTAGCCATCACTATTGTCTTGAGCTGTTCACAGAGCTGGTTGCTGGAGTTCCTGACTTTATTCCGAATGTCCTGGGCAGCCACCTGCCTTGTCAGAGTGTCTCCAATGAAGACCAGTTTGTGTGCACTGAGAATGACGAACTTGCTGTGGGCCACAAAGATCCGTGGGGGCTGGGCTGAGCTGACGCAGCTGAAGAGGGCATCGATGGCGTTGAGAAGGGATATGAAATGGGTCTCGCACTGGTCGTAGTAGAAACAAAGCAACTGCCTGTCCTGAGCACCCACACTGCTGTTTGTGGTTGGGAGGGCCTGGGAGGGCTTCCACTTGGAGATGTCATTCTCCACCGGCTTGGTGATTTCTTGTTCCAACAGCTGGAACTGACTCAGCTGGAAGGAAGATGGGAGGTTTCGTTAAGGGCAAGACACGCAGTGCAAAGAGAAGGAAATGTGGGGGTGGAGTCGAGAGATACCAGCTTCATCCTTAATAGATGCCAGGTACTTAGGAGCTCTAAGAAATGGCCAGGCCTTCCTTCCTAAACTGCACACACAGACCCCGGGAAGAGGATCCCTAAGGGACCCTCCAGCTCTGACCTGTGATGACACCATTTGTCTCTTCTGTATTCTGTCTGGCAGGCAATGTTGGGTTTGAACCCCAGCCTCACCTATGCCATTGTGGGGGTTCAGTGAATTACTATTATTCACAAAGTGCTTGAAATAGTGTTTGGTGAATTGCAGACTTTGTGTAAATGTTTATTAAGTGTTGAGAGACAGCAAGGGAAAACCAGATGCAGGGACCTTTCTGTCAAATACATCACCAATAGTTTGCTATTTCCTGGGGAAGGCCCTGCCTTTCTCTTCAAGATGGAAAATTCATGAAGATTCTCTATTTCTCCTGTCCTCCCTGTCAAGATGTACACATCATGATCCTTTGCTATAGGAAAGTATTACAAATGCACACCTACTTAGGGAAATGGATACAGGGAAATCTGAGCATTAATTGTTTATTGTAATTTATACATATGTGTGTAGGTCAGAGGACAATTCACGGCAGGCAGTTCTGAGGATCAAACTCAGGTCATCAGGCAGCAAGTCACTAACACCGAGCCATCTCGACGGCTAGGGTATCAGCTTTTCTGATGCTCTCCTTTGCATCCCTAACTGGACTGTGATTTCAAATGAAATGATAATTTCTTGCTATTTTACTAAGAATCCCGAGTTCAGGATTCAGTTAATCTCTCACCCTGATTCAGAGCTGAGTCAGGACAGGGACACCTCCATCCTGTTTCCCCGGAGAAGTGCGTAGTCAGTTTTATATTGCACAGAATCTACTTGCTTCTTAGGGATGACTTTAGTGTGTCCTAGTCCCCACAAACTGCTGTCTTACGGGGCCAGCTGCCAATGTAAGCACAGTAGACAGAGGGTGGTGTTCCAACATTATTTGAAAATAATGAATTTGATTTCAAATCATGTGTTCGTAGTGGGCAGTACTTTCCCAGTTGATAGAGAAGGAACTGAATTTTTGGCCCATTACATGATGCTCGAGTTGACACACCTGTTGGCTAGAAACAAGGATCCCCTAAAGACATCTTGTCACTTCATGTTGTGATGTGCTATTTCATTTCATCTTAAAGAGTGTGTAAATCTTCAGTCCATTTCTCTGTTTTCCTGTCCTTGACTTGGCAATGTCTATCCTTACCTGCTGTACTCATTAAACCTTTGAGTGAATGTGCCCAGCTCCACCCTTAGTAAATGGACTTGAACATGTCTCACAAACATTGGATCCTTCCCTTTGACCCTTAGACTGGGCCATGCGAAAGATGAGGGATGGGGTTGAGGAGAGAGTTAGAATCAAACTCTCTTAGGAATTTGATAACCACAGAAGGGTGTTGACCATTAGCTAAGGAATCCCAAGTGAAATGCCATCTACAGAGAAAGCTGTAGAGCTGGGCACATGCCTACAATCCCTACACTCGAGAGATTGAGGAAGGAGAATATCAAGTTTGAGGTCAGCCTGGGCTACATAGTGAGACCCTATCCCAAAGCATAACATAACAAACCAAAGCCCCGTAGAAAGGGCTTGAGCATCCATTTGTGAGTTTGGTAACTAGATATAACTAGAGACAATGTTAGAGAGTACAGGAGAATGAAGCCGATTGTGGAAGAGAACCAAGAGAAAAAAAAAGAGGAAAGACAGCCCTTGTTCCTGTCAGTCTTGGCTGCACCTTCATTCGGAATCCCCTTCCTGTGCCCCCAATAGAAAACCAATTAGCTTGGGCCACCCTGACTTGTGTCTTGAGACCAAAGGCTTTAACCCAAATAATCCTAACACGTTATATATTAACAGGCATAGCCTGAACAAACCCTGTCGTTTGGATGCAATCCAGGTATCCTCAGCTGCAGTCACAGACCACAAATCTTGACTTTGTTCTTATGTCCTATTATATGCCTGGGACTTCTTCATGCCAGCGTGCTGGCGGGACCCCAGCCTTTTGAAGTTGCCCATTCCCTGCTAAGTGGAGCCCGGTGTTTCGTTTGAACTTACCTGATGATGCTCTAGCTGGGTCTTGCTCTGCTTGATGATGTTCTCCTTTTCCAAGAGCTCCTTCTGCTGCCTTTCAAACTCCTCCTTGCCCTGTTGTTTCCAACACAAAGACCGCATTACCTCACCACTCTGAGTCACTTGTGTGACCAGCTTCATTGACAAACGCACTCAGACTGTCATTGTCCCCCGGCCACGTCCTTCATGTCCAGCTAGTCATTGTACACCCCTGACAGGGACTTCCGGAGTTGCTGTGGAGACAGGCTTGAGAAATAAAGCCCGTTTCCGAGTGGGCTGCCATGGTTGCTGCTCGTTCTAGCTGGGGAACTTCCCATAATCCTCTTTACACTCTTAAGAAGCACTACTTTTTCATGGTTCTTTTTTTAATGGGTTATATGTGAACCCATGCACTTTCAAACCAAGGTAAAAGTGGGTGCAGATTTCACTTCCAATTTCTTTGAATCTCCTCTACCTGTACTTGGTATTCTCCAGTGTACACCATCAGAAGCCCGGTGAGATGAAGGTTAAATTCCGTCATCTAACCCAGGCCATTCCTCAGCATGAGATGAGGCTCACTTGACCATTTCTACTCTCTTACACCTCTGGCCTTTCAGTATTGAACAGGGTTCAGCACAATTCATGGCTCTCCATCAAATGGAAAAGAATGGCAGAATAAGACATTAGGCTAAGTAGTAAGTACTAGATTATGGTAGGATGAATTCTTCAAAGTCGACGGGGAAGTTTTCAGGATCCCAGGTCAATTGGGAACTAGCACCATTGATAATTCTAGGAAGCAATTTGCAGAGCTTAACATATGCAGGCCAACCTGTTGGCCAATTGGCAAATTATCACAGGTCCTCTAAATCTGATGGGGCTAAGTGTCTTTGCAAGCAGTGAAACACACAAACACACACACACACACACACACACACACACACACACACACACACACACAGTGTAGGCTTCAAGAGTTCTTTAGAAACTCTCTATGTACAGATATTTTCAATAGTTTTTTTTTCTTAACAGTGATATATTTTAAAACTTATTTCTATTACAATGGGCTGTTCCATGGAACTATGCCATAAAACACAAGTAGAGGAAGAATTGATACCGTGACTAGTGAACCCACTGTTCCCCATTGATGAGTCTCCTCCAGCTTGCCTGAAGTGTATCAGTGAGATTTAATACAACCCTTTGAGTTAGTGCCTTCTCAAAATAAAATGAAGGCCCAGGGAGGCTAAATGAAATGGCTGTACAATTTCTGTACAACCTCACCCTTAATTTTCACAGCACTTGGATTAGGACTCAGCATGCTCTGTCCGTTGGCTGTCCAGCCTATGGACATCAGTTCTGGGCTCCCTGAATATGAGTGTGGGCAGTTTATAGGTCTGGTTTCCTTACCTGTAGGTGGACATAATCATAGTCATCCATCCAACTCCTTTCAGAACCATCACTGCTACTACAGTCTGGTGGCTGGTCCTTGCCTAGAGTGGGAGGCAACGGCTTATTGTGGACCTGGGCCTTGTAGTCACCAGGGCGCAGTGGCTGCATCTGGGCCCCTGTATGTGTGTACTCGCTTGAGTTCATGATGCTGTCGGGCCCGTTCTTCAGATGGGAACCGCCAGGACCTGCTCTAAAGAGGGTCTCTGCATAGGTGCTGATGGTGGTGGTCAGTTGCTTGGCATCATCTGGCACTGTCTTGGCTACCATCACAAACCGGTCCAGATCATCACATTTATTTTGGGGCTTCTTGATAGCTAGGACATTCAGGGACCAGTTGCATTCATTCAAATCATGGCTGGTTTGACTTAGAATCTGGTGGGAATCCTCTACTCTCTGAAGTTCCCGCTTCATTTTGTTGTGGAGGACCAGTTCTGGGAGGCAGGAGGCATTGGCTAAAGCTCCCTTGGCAAAATGGAGGTATTCTCGTAAAAACAGCTCCACCTTGTCCACTGCGGCGCGGATCTCATTGATGTGTCTTTCCATGTATCCATAACACCTCCAGTCTGTGGTGACGAGCGACATGAGGGTGCAGACACCCATCTCCAGGGTCTGCTGGAGCCGATAGAGCTTCTCAATGGCCGTGTCTGGGTCCAGTAGGAGCCTTTTGTCCTGAGGTGGGGAGGCTGACAACGAGGACTCCTTTGAGGAGGTGGAAGATGTGGACATGTTACTCCTGGTGCTGCCAGTGCTGGAGAAAGACAGTCGGTTGATCCCGTCCACCACATCCCGAGAGCCTTTGGCATCTGCTGGGTTGTGCAGAGGGACATCGTAAACACCGTCTCTTTCCTCCAGATTTGCTTTTTCACTGGTTTCTGCTGGTGCCTCCAGAAACTGAACTCCTCGGGGGACATCATATGCATCACTCTGGATGCCCCCGGACTGTCCCAGCTGAGATGGGGGATGGTGCAGAGAAAGGCTCTGGTGTCTTCGTGCTGTTGGCTCTGCAGCTCCTGGGGCATCACAGGTGAATTTGATATGAAGGTCCTTCCCCGCTGCCTTGGTGCTGGTTGGAGGGATGTCGTAAACCCCCTCAGCTCTAGTGTCCCTTCCATCTTGTTTCATTGGAGACGGGAAGTCATATTCCTTTTCCCTAAGCCCTGCTTCATCCCGACAAGCTGATGGTGGAATGGAATAGACCTAAAAAGGAAGTAAAAAGCCAATTTATCTATCCAGTTGGGTTGTGGATGGAGGCAGAAGATGAAGAGTCCGTGAAGGTGTGGTCCAGAGTTCACAGACCCATTTGCAAGATCTTCTTCCTCCCTCCTCCCACCGTTTACTAATTTCAGATGTTTCCCAGGGCGCAGCACGATCCTTAGAGGATGTGCGCCCCCCTCCTCACACACAAGCATCCACTACCGTTCTCAGTGCTGGCTGACTCGGCTGTGGAGCCCTCACAGCTAAGCTGCTCACCACCGGGTCATAGTCTCATGTTTTCAACACTTTACTGACTGACTATCCTACCCGGGTTGACCCATGCTGAGAGACAGAGGACATGCTACAGTGGACTGAGGGATCCGAGTTCTCTTCTTGGTCATTAGACCATTTGTGAAGCTACCTGGGTCTCCTTAGTCTGCAGAGGCACAGCTCTCTATCCGTTCAGCAAAGCCAATTGTGTTCAAAGTGTGAATACTCTCGGAGAATAACAGAAAACCAAATGGACTACCTCTGATGAACAAACTGAGGAAGCGGTAGACCAGTGGTTCTCAACCTGTGGGTTGTGATGACCCCTTGGTGGGGTCAAGCAGCCCTTTCATGGGGGTCACATATTAGATATCCTGTATATCAGATATTTATGTTATGCTTCATAACAGTAGCAAAATTACAGTTATGAAGTAGCTATGCAAACAATTTTATAGTTGGGGGTCACCACAACATGAGGAACTGTGTTAAAGGGTCACAGCATTAGGCAGGTTGAGAATCACTGCTGTAGACCCTTCTAGAAATATGAGATGTATTAGATATTGAAAACTGAACTCGCCATCTTCCCTTCCAATTGACTCTTATCACTGCTGTCTCTATACCTTAGGGGACCCTCTACATGTGTAATTATAATTATAAATTTGTAATTAATTGCTGACTTCTCTTCTTTACTTCCTTCCCTCTTTCTCTTCTCTCTCCCCTTCCCTCATGAAGATGGTTTTTCCCTTTTGGAGAATGCCATTGTTTTATCCCAACAAGTTGACACACATCACCCCCGCCCCATCCACACAGGGATATTCATCCACACCCAGGGCTTTACCAGCTCACTTACCCCTTGAGTAGGGGGAATGTCATACACCCCTTGGGGTTTTATCTCCCCCACTGGAACTGAAAACACGGGGCCTTTCACTGATGAAGGAGGGATGTCATATACCTGAAGAGAAACACTTGAGTTACCCAGGATGGAGATGCCATCTGTTACTTCTCTTGCTACTGTTTCCTTATGGATTTAGCAACATCTCATGCCATCAGAGCTTTATGGAAGTTTCCTTTATAAATTTTGCATTCTTTGATTTCAATTGAATATGAAAATGATCTCACGTGACCTATCTTTTCTATAATTTAGATCATTTAAATTGCACATTTCCAGAAATAAAATGACAAACTGATAAAGCACCAAGATATTTCTCAGATGATAGACTAGACTTTCTGATAAGGCAAACTCAGAAACAGTTTAAATCACACTGGCTGAGTCCCCGGACAGGCAGCTCAGAGCTCCATTTGATGAGGTTGTCACTGGAGACTCTTTGCTCCTACGTGGTCCTGAAGACATGCTACCCCCAAAGCCAGTACTCCTGGTGATGTTCCCATTGCCTACCCCTTGAGTAGTGTGGGAAGGAGGGACATCGTAGACATCCTTTTGGTATCTGGATGGGTACTCGTACACATAGCCATGGCCTGTCCTCACGGGGGTGATCACCTGCGGGTGAAAATACACAGAGATGTCAAATGACAATCCCGAGTCCTCAGCATACCTCTTAGCCTGTCACCAGGCACACATCCCTACTCAATCCCCCATAGCAGGGAAGGAAAGGAGAGAGGGGACAGGAAGGATGAAATAAAAGGAAGAAAAGAGGGACAGGCAGAGAAAGAGAGAGAGAGAGAGAGAGAGAGAGAGAGAGAGAGAGAGAGAGAGAGAGAGGACATGTGAAGACATGAGGTAAAATAAGTAGGAAGTGTATGAAATACCATTATTTCCTTTCCTAAGCATTTTCCAAAAATCCTATAGAAGTTCATCAATAGTCTCAATTCCCTATATTCAAGGAGATAGGAAATTGTATTATATCATATAAATTATAAAAGTCAGGCTGAAGAGAGCGCTCAACAGTTCAGGGCACTTGTTGCTCTCACAGAGGCCCTGGGATTGGTTTCCAGCACCCACCATGGCCGCTCACCACTATCCGTATCTCCAGTCCCAGGGCACTGATGCCCCCTCCTGGCCTCCAACAGCACCAGGAACATGTGTGGTACATACATATATACCTACATGCAGGCAAAGCATTCATACACATACATAAAAATCAATAAGTCGCAGTAAAATAAAATAATGAAAGTCTTAGCTGATCCTTTTGGCATGGCCAAAGCACAAGACTACAGTTTTTAAAAGGCTCCAAAGCTTTTGTCAAGTACATAATACAAATAGTTTGGCCACTTAAAATTCCTCTCATACCTTCCCCAGTATGCCTCTTCATCTGACATTATTGCTGTGATTATAACTGAAATTCCATGGGTCACTCTAGTCCTTGCACGGAGCCCCTGCAGAACAGCCCTGTTCTTAAGACTGCCTGGGAGCATTCACCCTAATTTATGAAACAAGGGAAACACAGTTCCCTCAGTGTCTATGAGAGACTGGGTCCAAGATCCTTGGATGCTCGAGTCCATGGGGTGTGGTGTTTTGTGTGTAACCTCCATACATCATCTGGCACACTTAAAAGCCTCTCCAAATTACTTTATGGTCTACAGTGCTTTACAAATACGAAGTCAATAGATGGTATACGGTATTGTTTAGGGAACAATGGCATAAGTCTACACACGTTCACTGCAGATACAGTTATTTTCTAAGTAGTTTTGACTTGCAGCTGTGCGTGTATGCACGTGTGTGTGTGCGCGCGTGTGTGTGTGTGTGTGTGTGTGTGTGTGTGTGTGTGTGTGTGTGTGTGTGTGAATGCACTCTCTGTTATGTGCATATGTGGAGAGCAGTGGTTGACCAACTTTATGTATCTTTCTCTATTTCTCTCCACTTTGTTTGTTTGTTTATTTATTTAGAGACCCCCATCTCTTCACTGACCAGGAGCTCACCACTTGGTTAGACTGGCTGGCTTGTGAAGCCCTGAGATTTGCCTTTCCCAGTGCCCACACCATCACTGGGGTTATAGGCACATGCCACCACCCCTGGCTTTTCCACGTGTGTCGGGGATCTGAACTCAGGTCCCCAATTTGTCCAGCAAGCACTTTACCCGCTGTGGGCTCCTGTGTTCTGCTGTGTGCGGCCATTGGTCATTCTAAGCAGGCTAGAAACACTGTTTCAACTTAATTGATTTAATCTTCTCAGGGCTTGCAAAGTGCCATAGTCTTATTTTGGCCTGATTCTCTACTACCAAACCATTAACAGTGTTCATGTCAAAAACTGTCTCCCCCCCATGTCTTTGAGAAGTGACACCAAAACTTAGGAAGATCTGTCTGTTCCCAGGAAGCCCTCCTCCTTCACCCTTGAACGTGAAAACTCTGGCGTCAGTCTGCCTACCAAACTATGTGAAAAATGTTCCACATCCATCTTAAGCTGAAGCGAGTGGAACACAGCCAAGTGTGCCAGTGTCTGGACCCCAGGGGCTCCAAAACCTCCCTGTTCAATTTTGTTTAAAATGCCTGATGCTTACAAGCTGATTATTTCTTGCACTGAAGGTAAAAGAGATTATTAGTATGCAGCAAACATTTCCATCCAGTCTCTCCATTGTCTTGGCTTTAGAAAAGGAACACGGCACTTTAAGTTTGTTGGCATGGAGTGACGGAACCATTTTATGAAGCAGCCATTGTATTGTGCACAGCAAATATTCCTTCCTAAAGCTGGGGCTGTTTGCTGAAGTCTTTTAATGCCCTTGTATGGTTTTTTTTTTCACTTACCATTGTGCAAGAGAGATATGAAGATCTTGTAAACGTTCTGTTTATAGCTCTCTATTTAGCTTTATAATAGAACCTGCTCACAACCCAGCTTTTGGTGAGTGTGGAAACTTCAAGAGTGCATTCTGTGTCAAGCTGCCAACTTAGGGATGCTGGTGAACTAATGCCAATTAAGTTGAAGTCCTGCATCCCTTTTCATCTTATATTTTGAAAACAGGGGGGTAGGGAGGTAGAGGGGGCAGTGCTGGTGTCTGAGTGTGGTTTTGTGGAAAGCAGGTAGGGGATGATCCTTAGAAAGGACTAGGGACCAAGCCAACCCCTGTCTTTGTGGCCCTTCCCTGGCAGGGCACACTCAGGCTTCTTGGTATTTACCATTCCACTTCCTGACAAATGTCACAGAACCCCAACTTGCTCTCTCTTTCTCATTTAGAGGATGCCTGTGGTCATCTGGTGTTTAAAACTTTGCATTCCAAACTAGTCATTTTTCCTTGTTTATGCAGTTAAAGAAACAGATGGTGAAAACCACGGGGGGAAAAAGCCAATAAAATACAGCCTTCCCCATCCCAGCATTCCCGATGGTACACTCTAGCTCACATGGGTCTGCCGATGACATTTAAGCAGGACCAAAGCTTTGCTTCTGGTGGGACATGTCCAGAGCAGTTAGTGATCCACGTGGTGATTTAGGAAAGACTGCTGAGGCTTTCCTCAGTGCTAGCTGTCAGCACCCTTCCTAGGACCCTTTCCGTGCCAATGGGGTGTTCCTTCCGCAGGGGGAAGCGCTTGGCCAACCTGACCTTCGGGTTCTTTCTTCCTGCTTGACAGAAGCACACAAAAAGCACTCTACATTAGCTCCTCATTCAGCCTCCTAGGACTTGCAGCCTAAGAGGCATACCAGGAGCTGCCTAAGACCATGAGTTTGGAAGAATTCTCCCGGGCATTAATGAAATCACTACATAAGGGCATTTTCAAATTAATTTCTTAATGAAATCAAGTCAGGTTTTTTCATTTCCCTGTTCTCTCTGTTTGTTTTTCTTTTGTGCATTCCTTTTATTCTACGTATTTATCTATAGTTACAAAGGCTCAGCCCTAAGAATTACCAAACTGACCTCTTAATTCATACTGCTTCCCAGGGAGCTAAGTTGTGAGGTGGGCTGCGGCCCCAAAGGTCCAGAGCTACAACAGCTGCCTCCTTGATTGTGACTACCCTGCAGAGGATCTGCGCAGTCACATCTGGATCCGTCTCTGTCCTGATGAGGGATCCTGTTCTTGTCAACTAACCAGAAGGCCCCAAGAAGAGCTAGGAAGCAGGGGACAGACTGCAATCATTTGGCTTTTTTCTTCCTTTCCTTTAAATTTTTAAAAATCAATTCTCATTAGTTGTTTGTGTGTGTGTATGTGTGTGTGAGCACACTTGTGAGTGTGTAGATGTGTGTGCACACTTGTGAATGTGTGGATATTTGTGTACACTTATGAGTCTGTGGATGTGTGTGTACATGTATGAATATGTAGGTGTGAATGTGCATACTTGTGAGTATGTTGTGTGTGTGTGTGCATACTTGTGAGTGTGTGTGTGTGTGTGTGTGTGTGTGTGCATACTTGTGAGTGTGTGGATGTGGGGGGGCAAAAGCTGATGTCAGGTGACTCCTCAACTTCTTTCAACTTCATTTTTTAAAAAGATTAGAGAATAGATGGCCATAATGTCTGTATTAGATGTCAAGATACTACTATTGCTGTGTGTGATGCAATAGTTACACACCTGTAACCCTAGTACTCAAGAAGCTGAGGCAGGAGGATTGTGAGTTTGAAGGCAACCTAGGGCACATAGCAATACTCTCTCAAAAACAAAAACAAACAAACACACATGCACAAAAAAAGAAACATCCCCAAATAAAACCTTTTTTTCCCCTCTTGAGTATGCCTCAGTTGTGTGTAAGAGGCTTGAAGACTTAGGTTAAACTCTTAGCTATGAAGGCTATGAAGCTGTTAAATAATGCTTCACATTAAAATTCTCTATCAAAAAAGGATTTAAAAAATTTAGTATTTTTTATGTATGCATACCAGGGGCATTCGGTACCCTCAGAGGCCAGAGGAGGGTGTCAGATCCCCAGGATTGGAGTGGTGGACAGTGGTGAGCCAGCAGGTACATGCCGAGAACTGAACCTGGTTCCTCTGCAAGAGCAGCAGTGATCTTAACTCCTGAGTCATCCTTCCAGCCCTCATCTTATTCTTTGAGGTAGGGTCTCTCACTGAACCTGATGTTCATCCATTTGGCTGGCCAAAGAGCTTGAGATCCACCTGTTTCCATCTTCCCAGTGCTGGGATTACAGACACGCACACTCACGTTTGGCTTACATGGGTGCCAGGGCCCCCAGTTCGAGTCCCCATGCTTGCATGGCAGGCACTTTACCAACTCAGCCATCTCAGTAGTTATTCATTGTATGTATTAATCGGGTGCCATGTGATAGTCTCACACACACACGTGGTATGCACTGACTGAAAGCATTTACAAGCGAAGAGTCTGTCGAATCAATCTCAAGGGCTGGGCCCTGACAGGTAGAGTGAAAAGACCAAAAGACCTAGGGTATGCTCGCCCTCTAATTAATGTGTTTACATTAGTACAAGGAGACAACCTCAGCGGTTCTGCCTTGCACTCCAGTGGTGTTTGATTTCCCCCACATTGAGCCTTAGATCCTGACTTTTGAAGATGTTCCTGACACAGCCTGTCGTTTGTAGGTGCAGATTCTGAAGCCACAGATTCAATCAAACTGGGGGGGGGGGGAGGGGCATGCATGGGAACAATTT